CGTGTGCGTGTGCGTGTGCGTGTGCGTGTGCAAGCGCGTGCGCGTGCGCTTGCGCGTGCGCGTGTGCGTGCGCGTGTGCGTGCGCGTGCGCGTGCGCGTGCGCGTGCGCGTGCGCGTGTGCGTGCGCGTGCGCGTGCGCGTGTGCGTGCGCGTGTGCGTGCGCGTGCGCGTGCGCGTACGCGTGCGCCGTGCGCGTGCGCCGTGCGCGTGCGCGTGCGCGTGTGTGCGCGTGTGTGCGTGTGTGCGTGTGTGCGTGTGTGCGTGTGTGCGTGTGTGCGTGTGTGCGTGTGTGCGTGTGTGCGTGTGTGCGTGTGTGCGTGTGTGCGTGTGTGCGTGTGTCCGTGTGTGCGTGTGTGCGTGTGTGCGTGTGCGTACCCCAGCCTCGCACTGAGGGTCAGCAGGCCCCGGGCCCACGGGGCGCCTCCCCCCCCGGGGGCCTCGTCGGCCTCTCGGCGGCCAGTCCCGCGCCCTCGGGCCGTCCGCCCCCCCCCCCGATGTGGGCGCGGCCGCGCACCCGGCGCCTTGCCGCTGTCGAGGAAGATCACTCGAGCAGTGGCGAGGCGAGCACGCGCTGACCTGCCGTGTCCCCGCCTTTTCCCCCTCCTCCCCCTCCTCCTCCTCCTCCTCCTCCTCCTCCTCCTCCTCCTCCTCTTCCATCCCTCCTCCTTCAACATGCCCCCCTCCCTGTCGCACCACCAGGCTCGCCGGTAGGCCTACCGAAGAGTGTCCTGAGAACCCGTTGTGGTCTGCACGACGTGTTATCATAGCAGTTCTGGTGGAGCCTATCTTTTCTTATCGGATCGGCTTTCGGTGCTGAGGACATGGTTCTTGTCATTAGAACATGTTTGGGCTCTAAGATGATTTCGTGGTAGGCCTACAGCAATGCCGGGACGGTCGGTCCCTGCTCAAATCAAAAGGACTTTAGGCCTCCCAGTGGGGTTCGAGTAGATGTGGTCGAAGGTCGCTCCGCATCGCCGATGCATCGGCGGTGCGGCTTGACGTAGAGCCCAGCTTCTCCACGCCGACGTCGCCGATGCATCGCCGACGTGCCGATACATCGCCGATGCTTCGGCGATGTATTGGCGATGCGGCGCGATCCTCCGACCGCGTCTACTCGGACCCCATCCAGGAGGCTCCTAAAGATGCACTTTCGATTCCGGAGGTCCCCACGGATGCCCTGGATCGGTGCTGGACCCCCTCTGGCGGCGCCTCGGCGCCGCCCTCAGCGCGCTTCGCGCTCCAGGAGGAGTGGATCCAGTGCCGACCCAGGGAGATCTAGGCGGGCTTCTGGAAGCATATGTTTCTATGCAGTCTGTCCTGTGGTGCTCTGTGGCCCCCCCTGGCGACGGCCCGCTCATCGCTTTCGGGCCGTGCCAGTCCGAGCGCAGCCGGGGTTCGCTGCCAGGATGATGCACGTCGGCTGCCCAGGTGAGGCGAACATGGTACTGATGCGGATCCCCTCGCTTCGTTTTCTCCTTGTTGGCCTCCTGGGGAGTCCTCGTCACCACACTTGGACTCGCGTCGGAATGCTGGTCACAACGCGCCCTGTGATAGCTCCGGGAGTATCGGTGTCGGCATCTTCGTGTTACCCTAAAGTTAGGTATTGGAAGTAGTAGTAGTAGTAGTAGTAGTAGTAGTAGTTGTAGTTGTAGTTGTAGTAGTAGTAGTAGTAGTAGTCGTAGTAGTAGTAGTAGTTGTAGTAGTAGTAGTAGTAGTAGTAGTAGTAGTAGTAGTAGTAGGAGTAGTAGTAGTAGTATAGTAGTAGTGATAGCGATAGCGATAGCAATAGCAATAGCAATAGCAATAGCAATAGAAGTGGTGGTGGTTGTGGTAGTAGTAGTAGTCGTAAGCGTAGTCGTAGTCGAAGGCGTAGTCGTAGTAGTAGTAGTAGTAGTAGTAGTAGTCGTAATAATAATGGTAGTAGTAGCAGTAGTAGTAGTAGTAGTAGTAGTAGTAGTAGTAGTAGTCGTTGAAGTAGTTCTAGTAATAGTAGTAGGAATAGTTGACGTTGTAGTA